TCGCAGGGCGGTGCGACGAGGACCTATTCGCACGAATTTACAATCGCAACCCTAATTCAATAACGCCAGTGAGGCCAGTTGACTAATCCCTTCTACTTGCCTCCCTAAAACGAAATCAAAGGTACTCCAACAAGAATTTATTAAGGGATTGTTCGAAAAAAAAGTTTTTCCAAATGCCCAACCCTATTTATATCTGCCACATGAAAAATGAAAGCTAAGGACTCTTTCACCAGCAAAATAGAATGCCTCCAAGACTACGTCACATTTATACAAGAAATAAAATTTAGTTTAAGAGCAATATATAAAAAAATGCATTGTAAACAGTAATTATTAATAGGTACGAAGAGAAATTGGGTTAGGGGGACCTTCATTTCGTATGAAAGTGCATGAAGAGATTCATTGGTCGATGTCACCAGATGAAGACGGATGAAACTCGTTGTACTGCAGCCGGTTGGATTGTATAGGATATTCATGTTGACGCAGTCCACGGGCCTCGTTTCGGGTGAAAACGTGCTGAGCTTTCGTCCATCATTCGATGGACATCATTAGAGCTGGGTGTCATTCTTGTAAAAGTCAAATCTTAACACTAGGCCAAGAAGCACCTTCATACGAAATGAAGGTCCCACTAACAAAGTAATTATTTACATTAACTAAACAAGGTAAGCTGAATTGAATGAAAAATAGTAAAAAAAGAAATATAATGTAAAGACATACATTGATCATGGACCCGAGTTGACAGTTCAATTCGTGTTCTTAGGTTCTGTAGATCAGCCTCCAGATTTTTACAACGGTTTATAGCCTCCATATGGCGAGTTCGCATGATATTCAACTCGTTGAGAGCCTCAGTTGCCTTGTGCTCTGCCCTCTGCTGAGCGTTTCGGTACAGCTGAGTCTCCGAGGCAACTAAAGAACCAAGATCTGGTAGCATAATCGAAACAATGAGAGACATTAAACATTAAATGAGTCATTGGAATATGAACATTTTTAGCATTATGTGGAAGGGAAAAGCCAAAATTGTGGAATATATGTTTAATAGGGAGCTAGGAGGTTTGTGAGATTGGGGATACTGACTATAGTCCCAAGAATGCATTTGAACGGCATTGTTGAGCCAATCTGATTAATTATGAAACCCAAAAGTCACACATTATGAAAAAGAACTAGAAAAGCAAGACTGAGTATCAAATAAGAATTTGGTCACCCTAGTTTGTTTAAGGTGATTTAAAGACAA